TTCGTCTCCTCTCTGGTATGCCTTCCCCCGTCCTTTCTTCCTCTCCACCTGAGTTTTTTCCGTCCCATCCTCCTCCTCCTCCACCTCCTCCTCCTCCTCCTCCTCCTCCTCCTCCTCCTGTCATCTCTCTCCTCCCCTCAATCTTCCCTCAGCCTCTTCGAGCTTCTCCCAGGAGACGCGCCAGTCTCGGAGGTTCGTCGAACGGGACCTGCGCCTTGTCAAAGCCCCTCCAACCTCTCCCTCCCTTGCCTCCCACACCTCTCCGATTAACTTGTGGAAGTCTTCCCACCATTCCAGCATCAGCGGCAAGTAACAAACTCTATCCACTGGATCTTCTCGTCCTGCAACGTCGTGAGTTTTCTTCCCCTCTCCTGTCTGTCCTCCTCCTCCCCCTCCTCCCCCTCCTCCCCCTCCTCCCCTTCCTCTCCCTCCCCGCCTGCCTCTTTCTATCGTCCTAACATAACAAATGTTCGGTCCCATACACTGTCTCTTCTTTCTCATCTCAGACTTACTCAGCCATCCCTCCTGCCATGGCTTCGGCAATCCGGTGAAGTCAAACCCTGCAACCTTGAAATCCGTCCAAACCTGATTGCATGCATGAGGGAAGGAGCAGAAGGGAGAGGTAGCCAATCCAAGAGTGGAGGGGGCAGAGAAAGGCAAGGGAATCGTGGGAAGGCTTCCTTCCCCAACCTCCTTCCTATCCGCCTTGTAGAGAAGGAGAGGAAAGAAGAGAGGAGAGGAGAGGAGAGGAGATTCGAGTAAACTTATGGTCCAACCATCTTGAAGCGCGAAACAGTTCTCTTCCAGGAAATCTGCATGCCCGTCAAACTGCATCAGTTTGATTCTCCCATCCTCCTTCCCTCCTTCCCCTTCTGTCCTTCCACTCGCTGTGCTGTCCTCCTCCCAATGCAATTCTCTCCCATCCGCCCCCTCGCCTCGCTCACCAGGCTCGGATGGTACAGGAGATGATCAGGAAACAGCGACAGGAGCAAACCCGCTGAACAGATTGACCAGTCAGACCTTGATAGACGACGAGTTGCCTCGCCTCCTCCCCTTCCTCTCAATTCCACAAAGTTTTGCATCGTCTCTCTCCCGAAACCTCCTCCCTATCCGCCTTTCCCATTCTCTCCTCTCCCTCTCCCTCTCCCATTTCAACCTCCCTCGTCTTCCTCCCCGCTCATCCTCGCTTCCTTCTTCAAAGTGCCTCACCGTCACTCCCGTCGTACGAAGGAAGACCCATCGCCCTCTGTCAAACTCGTCAGAATGGAAGCGACGAGGCGAGCCTGACCTCAACAAGATCCTCGAACTTGTGCTCAGCCGGAAGGCACAGGAAGACACAGGACATGATCCTAACAAGACTGAAACCCTTGTTAACACCTGCTCTCTCGTCCCCTGTCTCTCCCTCCCTCCCTCCCTCCATCCATCCATCCATCCATCCATCCATCCATCCATCCATCCATCCCTCCATCCCTCCATCCCTCCCTCCCTCCCTCCAATTCGCTCTCTTTCAAATCTTTTCTCCGCTCCTCCTCAATCTTCTTATACAAGTCTCTCTTCATCGTTCCGTCAGAAGTTCTTCGCCACTTGGTCGCGTATGGATAAGCTCCTGACATCCCTAGCAGTCAAGGCGGCATAATGTAGAATTGAAGGAGAGAGATCAAATATTCCTCTCACACTCGGACAACAATCATCATTCTCGGATCTTGCCATCTCGAGACACTGTTTCAAAGACAAGAATCTAATGGTCTCACCCAAACTGAATCGCTCATGAGAGAAAGCTTGATTGGGACAACTGAAGAGGAAGGTGTCTGCATCGAGATACACAACCTGCGTTCCCATCACATGCGCACCACCTGACTTCCACTCTCAGCAACCACATCTTCTATCTCATACAAAATATCTTTTCTCACACAACCCTGTTCAATCCTACTCTTTCTGACTCTCTTCAACCGCTTTAAATTAGGTTGTTCTTGCTCACCCTGTCCCACCGCCCTTTCCTCTTCCCCTCCCCTCTCCTTCCTCCTCCTCTTACCTTCTCATACTCCGTCAGGTTCCATACATGCAACTTGCTGTAGCCGGCACGCAAGCTCTCTCTGCAACCGTTGAGGAAAGAAGAATCTCGTTACTGCCTTCATCCCTCCTTCCATCCCCCCGCCTTCTCTTTGCTGAAACGCAAACCTTCCTCCTCCTCCTCCTCCTCCCATCTCCCTGCCTTCTCTTTGCTGACTGCGCTGCTTCCTCCTCCCCCCCATCTCTTGCTGGTCACCTGACGACTTCGTTGTACGGAGAGTAAATCGGATCAATCAACTTCACTTTGACGTCTGCAGGAAGAGTAGAAATTAGGCGTTTGAGCTTAGCAAGGGCCAAGTTCGTTTTCACCGTACTGCTGCAACATTGTCCTGAGATTCAGAAGCTCCCCAATGTGATTTGCAAGCAAGATCAGGACATCTCTTGCCTCCTTCAACTCAATCTCAGTTGATGCTGCATGAAAACAGCATTCTCTCGTACATCATCTTTGCACACTGTCCGAATTGCTCGTACAAGCGTAAGAGCTCCGAAGATGTAATCTTCGCTAAATACGATGGTCACCCAAGCAGATTTTCTCTCTTGGGATATCACGGCAGGAGTTTCGCTACGTCCGTGTCTTGCTTCATCTGGGCACCTTGAAAACCTATCAGACATCTTCGACTTCAAAAAACTCTTTCACGTTTCATCGGCCGCGAGCTTGACCTCCAGCTCGTGCTCCTCCCCGACTCTGTGAGAGATCCAGTCTTGGACCAAGTCGCCATTCTTGATCGCATTCAGCTCGACAAGAGAGAAGGTGAACTTCCGCAAGGATGAACTTCTCCCGACATCCTCACACATGAACTTCTCGGTATCATTCAGCACAAGGACAGGCTGATCGTCAAACCCTTCTACTACAAGATATGCTTCACGAGGGACTTGCATGACGTCAACCGTTGAAATCTTGTCTCTCATTACATGCTTCACTTCAAAGACCCTTCATCTTACCTGGACTCGAGCGCAACTCAGATTGAAATTTTCTCCTACGCTTTTCTCCGCTTCATCATGCACATACGGGGCACGTCTAGAAATCCGTACGAGAATCTTAAGAAGGTCTTATGCTTCCATCTCAACAACATGCTCAAGTTTTCACCTGGAGATTGTTTGCAGGAGAAATACTCGATATGCACCTACACATGTCTATTCATTGCGATTGCAGTAGGGTGTGATATTCACCGATGTTTGATGTTCTTGGAAGCAAATCCATTACATACAACATCCATAGGCATGTAGTTGTATTCAAAATCTAAAGGTAGTGAAGTCAGGAACGATCGTCGATGAGCTCAATCAGGAAAGTATTCATCAACCCTCCTCCCATGCGTGCTCAGAGCTTCAGCATGCAAATCTCACCGGTCTCATAGATCGGTTCCGAAGAAACAGTGAACGTTGTCATCAATCTCTGCAAAAGCTCCTCCTCCTCTTCACCATGGAGGCTCCCTGATGGCGCGAGCATGTCGACTGTCAGAACATGGTTCCCGGGCTCTGCCTTGACCTTGTGCTCCCTCCATGTGCTGCTCCCCACATACTGCACGCCAACTTCTACCATCTCCTCTCCATCAAGTTGGAATCGCAGGTAGCTTCCTTGCAGCGGCTTCTCGATGCCGTAGGACAAGACAAAGTGCCCATCAGGGCACGTGCTTCCTTCCAAAGGAGAGAACAAGGTGACTCTCGTGCTCGGGTAGCTCGGGTTCACATAGCGTCCTCCTACTGGGAGCCACCACAGCATGTGCAACTCAGCATCATGCTGAGCTCTCGAGTGGATCGTGTCGTGCGCTGAAGTAGAAGCGCTCGGCAGGGATTGAGCGAGCAGAATGAGCACATGTACAGGGATGGAACGTGACATGGTCGACTTGTCTCAGTCAGACTTTCTCATCAGTCCTGACAGATCTCCCCCTCCCATCTCCTCCTCTCATCTCATCGCTCCATCTCCTCCTCCCATCTTCTCTCATCGTCTCTCCCCATCCTCCTCCCAGGGCAGGATCACCCATGAGAAACCATGATCCGCATCTAACGAGCCTTCACTGGGATTTCTCTAGGGATTTCTTTGGCAGGGAAAATTGAGCGGGGATGAGGTTGACCGGCGCATGGAGACCCCTGCAACCCAGCATGGCGGCAGCGGTAGCGCAGAGATCATGAAGGAGGAGGAGGAAGTGAGGGAGAAGAGAGGGGTAGAGGATGAGGTAGAGGTGAGGAAAGGTAATATTGAGCAGTGAAGGAGGGAGGGATCAAGGCTTGTATGATACCATGAGTTCAACCGTGTTTGCTCAGCGTTCAGTTAATGATGTGTAGTTGCGCATGTCTGTTTTTCGGCACTTTTTGTCCATCTAGAAGATCTATAACTCTGCAGGAGTGACTGTCTACAATTGGTGTGAGTGCTTTTTTTTGATGTCATCAAAAATATGTTCTAGATTATTGTGATCATTTTGGAAAGATATACCTTGAAACCTTTCATGGACGTACATTGAATATTAAGTCGTTGGTTGATTCTGTTGCAGAACTAAGAAACCATGTTCGCCAATAAAGCCATTCCAACGCCTTCAAAATCAGGGGAAAATAAAGGTATCTTCAAAAAGATGAACTCAACAGGACAAGCTGGCAGCAACAGCCAAGACGGTTCGAGCCGTAGCTTGACTCATGGATCGGATCTGGACATCTTCAAAGCAGCGTCTGCTGGCTCCTTGAACCTGCTCAAGGACCTCATTGCTGCTGGCCAGCCCATCGATGCTACGGACGAGTCTCGGAGAACAGCTCTTCATCATGGTTCACGAGGAGGCTATTATGAGCTGGTTGAGTACCTCCTGGCAGCCAAGGCAGACCCCAAGGCAAAGACCAAGGAGAACGGGTGGACCCCTCTGCATGAAGCGAGCTCAGGTGAAGTGGCGGAGCTACTTATCCTATCCAAAGCAGAAGTCAACGATTTTGATGCCTGGGGGATGTCCCCCCTTCACATCGCCGCGAAGGAGGGCAACGTTGACGTGGTGCGATGTCTGGTGCAGTACAAGGCTCTCCTGAACCCGAAAGACGGCCTGGGTCGAACTCCCCTCCACCTCGCCTCGCAGAATGGACACCTCGAAGTCGTCCAGGAGCTGGCGTCCGACGGCGCAAACTTGCACTCTCTTGACAACAAGCACAGGACCGCGAGGGACAATGCGATGAGTTACGGGCATCGAGAAATCACCAAGGAGTTCGAGAAGATCGAGGAGCTTCTCGGTACCATGGGCGTCGGAGGAGAATCCCTGCGAGCGCTGCCGGCAGGATCTCCGGCCAGGCTCGCGAAAGGACCGAACAACAGCCCGATCGTGCGCCCCAAGACAGCAGATCGCGTCTTCGATGATACGGATGAAGGAGCAGCAGCGGGAGGAGGGAAACCGAATGAAAGCCAAGTATTGAAGTTTGATGATTGACGTTTGTTGCTTCTGTTTTCTTGATCTGACAATTGCTTCGCCCTCATGCTTATTCACATGTTTTGTGTTGGTTTTCTTATAGACTCAACAAAGTTCAAAGGTTTCAAAATAAAAGATCGCATGTCGACCGTCTCTGACACTCGCGGATCAGTTGATGGTTGATAAAGACTTGAAGCAGGCTACATGCCGTTCACTAAGGGCCGCAATTTACTGAGCGAATTCAAGTCGTAACGAGGACCACCAGAAGAGGCGATCAAGAGGCTTGACCCTGATTTCAAAGTGCGAGTCTGATCAGAGCAAATTTAACTAAAACATTAGTACCTACGCTACGCAATGCACTCGGAGCTTCCATATTGAAGACCTCTACCTCACCAGCCGAGGCTCACACCGACTCACTGTCAGCCAATGCTAAGGCCCGGGATGAGGGAAAAGACACTCGGACATAACCTTGAAAGCTCCTTGAGGAACAAGCCTGTAGATCCGATGGAACGTATGCCAGCCGTGCCAGTCAGATAGCGCCGAGTTAACAAAAACTCTCCTGTAAACCAAGACGACTTACGTGGCAGGCGGCAATGTAGTACATGTGACGAAGAGGAGGCCTTCCTAGCCGTCTTGCTAAGGTCCCCTCATGTCTGGATGCTTGGGTTTCACATCCTAGTATACAGTCTATCTCTCATGTGCTCCTCAATTCTGGTTTCGTGTGCATTAAACTCGGTCTTGAGCAAAAACTGTCTTGTTGAGATTAAGGTCGATGTGATATCTGCGTGACTTTGGACTAGTACAAGTCTAACAAACTTGTATTCCGTCGGTTATGAGCCTCGATTACATGCTCAATCATGTTGATCTTATATTTGGTTAGTTGAATCTTTTCAGTACTGGAGTTTTTTCTTTCTTGGTATCGTTTCGTTACTGTCGAAAATTCATGCAATTCAAGCCTTACAAATTCGGATGACTCCTCTCTTCAATCAGGCTCTCTCTCTAGCCGCAAGTTGTTTAGGCCTCTCATCTCAGCCTCAATTTGTTTGATTGATCTTCGAATTGGAAAAACAAGCCTTTCCCCAGCCAGATTGGTCGGTCGAATATCTGCTTAACCGTGTGGAAACGCACTTGAAGCTGATTCGATTTTAATCTTCTTGATCTTTGAGTAGGATCAAATGGAACTACCAGGAGATCTGGCGGAAGTTTTCATGTCATGGAGCTAGGCTGTGGCATGCATAACTGGAGCTACTTCTGGATCGGCGAACAAGGTACAACTGCACAACAACAATCTTCGAATGCCTTGAAACGGATGTTCCATCTCGCGGCAGCAATCTCTGGTCACAAGTTCTTTACGGTTCAAAATTTATCTTTTGGTCTTCAAATGCCGGCGGGCACGCTCTCTCTCTCTCTCTCTCTGTTATCTGAACTCCGAAGTTCTCTCCTCAGACTCTCTTATCTTATCCTCCTTCTCTCGTCATTGCATCAGCTCGCCAGGCATCTCCCTTATCTCTGCACTGCACATCTAATAGCCCTGCATGAAAATATTCTTCAGAATGGACAATCCTTGAATGGTTATTGCCCGCTCAGCTTGACTGTGAACTTGACGTTGTATCATCGTATCTTGACTTGGATCTGCTGACATTCTTGTTTGTGTGACTTTCAGACGTCCGATGTAACGTACTATTTCAGAAACTCGGGGGGAGGATGGAACGTATGCCAGCCGTGCCAGTCAGATAGCGCCGAGTTAACAAAAACTCTCCTGTAAACCAAGACGACTTACGTGTTTGCGAGGCGGCCAATGTAGCGTGTGTGGACGAAGAGGGGGCTTTCCTAGCCGTCTTGCTAAGGTCCCCTCATGTCTGGATGCTTGGGTTTCACATCCTAGTATACAGTCTATCTCTCATGTGCTCCTCAATTCTGGTTTCTTGGACTAGTACAAGTCTAACAAACTTGTATTCCGTCAAGATCAGTGCACGGTCGAAGGATCCAGGACTGGACCATCCTTTCCTCCAAGTCAAGACCATCCTCAAGACCATCCTGTGATCCGCCGCAGTGCCAGACCGTCGCAGGCTCCAACAGGCGGGCCCGCGGCTGTGACCTGGCCGCCGGGCCCCGCGGGGGCAGCCGCCGGGGGGGCGGGTGACGGTGGGCTGGGTGGGGGGGGGGGGCGGCAGGCCCGCGACCCCGGGCCCGGGTCCGCCGGCTGCAACATAAGCTTCACAGGACCATATCCGGCAGTTTGGCGGCAAGGTGCAGCGCCCGGCGGAGCGAATCGTGAAGGGGAGGGCGAACAAGGAGGGAAGGGGGGGGGACGATGAGACTGAGTCAGAGAGAAGAGATATACATAAAGGTAGACAGGTGAAGGGTAGATGAGTCTCATTGCATCAGTAGTTCGGAGTACCTAAGACGAAGGGCTTGTACGGATGGAGTAACTCGCAGTCTGATTGCTTTGGTTGCAGACTCCTGTGTACTGGGCGCTACTTTGTTGTCTGCAGCAGCATGCTATCGGACTTTGTCACGGAGTTGAGGCGAGCAGTTTCTTCATAGCCTTCACTGATGCAACGCTGGTCTCCATACGTCTGGTTTCTGGTTTTCCTATGTCTGAATGACAACACCTGGTCTTCAGTTAGCACTTTCCGTGCTCCAAATCCGCGAGCTGGAACGATACGTGTCACTCTGCATGTCTTATCGAGAGTGAGGTTCAAACCTTTGAGGATCAGGGGAGGAAATGTGAAGGAAGAAAGCCAACAGGTCAAGTGCACAGCATGCGGCAATCTCGCTGTGAAGAGGTATGGCTCCTTACCTACTCCCCTGCATCTGAATTTGCTGCCAGGACTGTGAACAAAGCTGGTCCAAACAAAGGAAGGCAGTTCTTCACCTGCACGTCAAGTCAACCGACTTGTCGGAAATTCTTCAAATGGGATGATGGAAATGTGGGAGGGGCAGATGAGAGAACGCAAGGTGGCGCGCAGTCCGGCAGCTTGAACGGATCTCCGTTCTCTCGTGTTGGAGTGTCACCACCAACTATCGTTCAGAGAGTTGCACAACAAGACGGTGATGATTTGAACACATATCGCATCTCGACAAAGTTTGATAACATCCTCAGGTTCTGTTATTCTACGTAATGCAAGCACGGGGACCTTCTTGGCAAGGTCTCCACATGGAGTTATGATGAACATGACTGAAGATGCTGTAATACTTTCTTGCCGCATTCATGCAGTCGGTGTAATCATTGGAACAGATGCGAAATAGAAGATTGGAGGAGGATAGCAGGCATGACTGGCCAAGGACAGAGCAAACGCCTCTGCTTTCTCCACGCCATGCTACCACTCTTTCGGGAACACCTTTCCGCCCGAGACACTATGGTGGTGATCAAAACAGATTACAAGACCCGCAGACCCCTAGAATAGATTTCTCTAACCTGTTTTCTTCACTTAGAGAAGACTCGATCGAGTCACCCCATGGCAAAAGGCATTCGCCAGGATTTGGTGCTGCCCATGAGAACCCTTCGCCCGGTGGCTTTGGATTAGCCAGCATGTCCTTGCCGGGTCGTTTGCCCGCAGGTGCTACGGGGTTTCGATCAGCTTCTGGATTCAAACCCCCAAGGCCTGCAAACCTTCAAAATCAGGAAAATTTTGGTCAAGAATGCCCTGGGGCATTTCGCACGTTTGCTGTTGGAGTTGGAGAAGCAAGTTTGCGACCTCTCGAGAAAAGAAGAGGCCCGATCTTGTTGGGAAATGGAAGCTCAGGAGAGTTTTCGTCTGTGGAATTCTATCGCTCGTCATCTGGTCCTGCACAGGTAAAAACGCGAAATCCATCATCTGACAGTGATGCGCAACCTGATGCAGAGTAACCTTCATGTCATAAATGCTCAATGGCAGTTCCATGGATGCAACATTTTATGCCAGGGAGGGATTGCACTGATGTGCGTGAAGGTGCAGAGAAGATGGAACGGAAACAAAGGGTTTGATTCGCATTGCCCAGGCTGCAGAGGTTGCCTTAGATCGATGCAAAATCGGTGGAATATCGGGTGAGGACCCAGCCAGCTGGTCTTCGGATGGGTTGGTAGCCATGGCCGATACCACTTGCTCCCTGGAGGTCGAGAAAATTCATTTTTCGTGCGTGACACTGACGATGTTTCATCCAGGAATGTGTCGTAGAAAACAACGGCAACGTTGGCGTGCTATCTCATGTAGGTTCTTCAGAAGTGACGGTTTTGAATTGTACCATGAGGAACAACTTCATTGCAACTGTGAGTTGGAATGTGCTCATTGATCTACTGCTCTGAATCTCCCTGCAGGGTGTCGATGATTCCTCCTCGTTGACTATCCAATTTTGTCATCTCTATGGCAATCAACACGGCGCAGTTTTTATCGGAGGGTCTGCGCAACGTGCTGAGGTCAGCTGAGTTGGGGGCATTGTCAAGCGCTCTGTCATTTGCAGTTGCGCGATCTGAACTTTTCTGCAAGGTTGAGGTAACGAATAGCAGCATCGACGGGTTTGTTTGGTTGGGTCGAAAGGAAATATTGTGCAAAGTCGTCTTCGAAGGCAACACTTGTTCAAACCAGACGGATCTTGCGTCGGAGGCATCCGAACTCAGTAGAATGTCTCCTGGAAGGTCAGTTGGGGAGCTTCAGTTAATCCTTCCCTGACACGGGCAGTGCAGCTACACCTGGAGATCGGTCGAGGAGGCTGCTTCCAACAAACCCACATCTGTGTCCCCCAGTGTTCGTCTCTGCAGCCTACAGGTAGCGAATATTTCTCAGTCAGTTGGAATCCATGAGCCCATTGAACATTTACAGAATGCGGAGGAGAGCGTGGAGGAAGCGATCTCGCACCGCGAGGCCCTGGATGCCGTTCGCTGCATTCTGTAAGCCGTAGATCGATTTGTGGAGTTTCACGACTTTAGAAAAATGTTGGTGATTGATGTAAATGTCTGGTAACTTAAATAGCCATGAGTCCCCCGGCTGGGTGACAGATGGTAGCCTGGTGGTTTACTAACTAAGTTAGTGCAAAAAAAAACTGCCGCCGGGCGGCCTTGCCCAGTATAGCCTAGTAGCAGAAACCCTTCAGTGTATCTCCAGCCGGGCCGGGTCACGCCCGGCGGCCGGGTGATAAGGTTTAGGTTCAGGTTTTGGTTCAGATGTGATTGTCCTGAGGCGGCCCGTGATTTGCATGATGATTCCTACAAACTCATCAGTATTGGTAGCTTGATCCCTGACAGGGATCCAGCGAGGTGTCTACCAAAGTACTAGTCCTAGACTTAATAAATCTATCATGTGGGGTGGGGTGGAGGATAAAGTAACTTGCCAGGCTAGTTCCTGGCTAAAAACTTGACCACCCCCATTTTCCCCTTCTACTACCCTACCTTGACATGCCTAGAGCTAGGAATCCCGCTCGATAAATCCTTGGCCTTGCTCCCGCTTCCTACCTTCCGCTACCTCCGCACCCGCCGCATCTCTTCCTTCCTCTCTCAACCTGATCCGATCTCTGCTTCTCCTCTCCATCTCCTCACTCTCTGTCCCTCTGTCTGCCTCACTCTGATTGAAGTGAAGGAGCTTCCCTCTTCCTTTCCATAGCCCTCCCGTTCTCCCTTAGAAAATCTCAGGATGGATCGCCAAATGACTCAAATTGATATCTTGTTTCCGACCATCGATAATGATGAATCTTGCAAAACCCTAAGGTAACAGAAGTATGCTGATGTTTGATTTATCTGACCACATGGCCCCAGACCTCCCACCCGCCTGAGCATCCAAGAGATCAACACCTTCCAAGACGTAGAGAGCCTCGTAAAGCACTTGACAGACGAGCTCAACCTGTCGGTCAAGGTGTCGCATCCTTCCATGATGCGCTATCTCAACTGACAAGCATGTCCTGTACCAGGGCCTCAAGCTTTACAATGCTATTACCCTCATGGAAGTCTCTTCGCTCCAGTTTGACTCCGATGCCGGACCGTACAAACTTCTGCTGCTGCCCGCTGAAGGTAAATGCCGGAGCTGAGACATGTCAAGAACTGATGTGATCATTGGCAGACACCCTCTCTACCTTCAAGTGTGTCACAGTGGAAGATACCACACCTGATAAAGGGCGCATGTTAGAAAGTTCGATCAGTAATTACTCTTTCTTGACAGCGATCGGGGAGCTTTTTGATAACTCGATACAACATGTACTCTGCAACCAATATGACAAGAACAAAACTATCAAAGTTACACTCGACTTCCAAAGGGGCACTTTTCATCTTGTGGACAATGGAATAGGCTGCTCAGACCCCAAGGAAATGCTTCAGTATGGGTCAAAGCGCGCATCTACGCAGGAGCTGTACGACGAGGGTTGCACATCGTTCAGGAGATATCTGAGCGGTACCTTCTCTCGATATGGCGTGGGGGCCAAAAATGCTTGTAATGCCCTTGGGACAAGACATGTTGTGAGCAGTAAGACGCGAGACAGCAGAACTGTGCAAGTAGTGGAAGACTCAACCTTATCGGCTTGGAAAGCAATTAGATGCATCAGGTCTCTCCAGGAGGGCGAAGACGTCGCGTCGAGCTTCTGCAAGATCGACATAGAAGGCTTCAAGATTGATTTCTTTATCAGCGATGGAGCTTTCTCTGCGGCAGCTCTCAGGCACTGCCTGAGCAACATCCGAGCGATGTACTACATGTACCTTGAAGGAGAGCAGGCAGGCGCGAAGAGGTTTGTAGACCAGGTGCTGAGGCTGATAGATCAGCCAAATGCAGAGATGAGACGACGCGGACGGATCGCAAACGCAAAAAAATTTTATCAACACGACCTGAGCTGCTTGAGGACGATGCTGAACAAATATCTTGTTGAGTCTGGCTCTATGTCGGAGCAGATTGACCTGGAGTTCGAGGTGATCCATCAAGACTCTGCTAGCTCGGCCCCTCCGCATCGACTAGCAGACTCGATGTGCTGCCTTGACCGAGTGCTGAGCGACGACGCCAGGGACTGCTTCCCCATCTACGTCGAGATCCCCGACCATGCAGACCCCACCAAGCGCTCGATCGCTACGGGGGCGATATTCTACTTTCCGAACCAGGGCAACAAGGACACAGTCCCGTACGTTGACGAGCTGCATGGGCACTCAAGCTCATTGGATCGCCGCTTCATGGTGTTCTGGATGGGACGATGGCTTCCTGAAGAAGATTTCGTACCAGGTTTCATGAGATACCGTGAGGGGGATAAGCCGCTTGCCCCGCAGCGATGCTATGCAAGGACTTTCGGCATTCTTTTTGTAGACCGAGGGATCGAGCCAGAGGCAAACAAGCTGGCCCTGAGCAAGTCTGCTCCAAATGTAAAGAAGATGAAGGAGGCGATTGACTCGAAGGACCTTGCAAAAGCATATGATTACTGGCTCAAAGAATGTCACCTCAAGTTTGATGCAGAGGTCTCCTTCGAAGACGAAAACCCAAAGTACATAGATGCTGAAGGAATGTCTCAGCACGACAAGATCATATTCTGCGACAATGTGTATAAGGTGGGTGAATTCGTCGAGCTGTACAAAGAGTCAAAGGAGAAAGCAAAGATTGAAAGTCATATAGGAAGGATCGAGAGGTTCTTGCAAGATAAGCACTTTGACCTGCACTTGCCAACAGGGGAGGTCGAGCTTCTTCTATTGGCTTCAGACAACAGCATGACGAAGCATAATCGCTTCAGAATACAAAACTATTCCATGAGGCCCCTCAGCAACAAAGAGTTCGAGGCTACCAGAGCAAAGAATGAGAAGCAGATAGTCAGATCAGTCGCTATCGAGTTCCGCAACCACATCGTGAAGGCTGGCATGTTACCGCTTACAAGGGTTGTCTGCAAGAACTCAAACAACGAAGTCATTCAGACAAACATCCCGATCTTCAAGGTCACAGTGGCGTCACAAGATTGCTTGGAAAGCTTCGAAGTGTCTAATGGGCTTCTGTCTTCTCCTGAAAAGATAGTGCCCAATGGGCATCTGTCTTTTCCTGACAAGATAGTGAAGAAGCTCGCGACTGTCGCAGGCCGGTATACGATTTCCCTTGAGCCAGCTGCAGGTCAGACGCCGTTCACGTGCGAGCCCGCGACGTTCTACATCACCCCAGCAGAGATGCACAAGGTATCGCTCAGACCAAACACTCCGAGCATCCATTGTGAGCTCGGGCAAACGACCTCCTTAGAAGTACAGGTGCACGACAAATACAACAATAGCATCGATCTCCAACTCGGCGTCCACACGCTTGACATTCTGGTAGACGAGGCTCGGGCTCTAGATGTCTCGCTATCCTTCACGCCTGAGTACGCTGGGAGCATCAGGATCCAAGACCTCTGCGTGCTTCATGGGGGCGTCGGGACGTATCCTGCTCGCATAGTCATCACAGACATTCATCAGCAGAAGGTCGTTGAGCACAAAATCTCGATCAAAGTCCAGCATGGGCAGCCATCGTCCATACAGTGCGACGCTGACTGGGAGGAGTATATCAACTACCAACAGCTCGGGCCAGTCGACGTCAGCATTCAAGACGCGAGCGGGAACATGTGCGACGGAAACCAAGGCAAGCTCGTGGTGATGAGCCCGGACCTCCTGCTTCACGGCGAGAGCCAGCGGAATGAAAACAAGATAAGGAAAGGGAGATGTCGCCTGACCTGCTCGTGTGCGAGCTCTTTGTTCTCGAATGGTACGGCAACAGCTCAGACGGTAGTCAGTGAAGCAGAAATGGGTCGATGGAGAGAAATGATACTCAAGCAAGTCGCTCCGGTCGGGGTATTTCACAGGGAGCATGGCTTCTTTCAAACAGGGGATTGTGTATTGCTCATCACGGAGCAAGAATTGGGCGTTGGAGCACGTCGTAAGACAAGGCCTAAGGTTCGGTTGTTTGGACAGATCAAGTCTATTTTCAATGATGAGCAATCTTCGGAGACTGGAATCTATGTTGAGTACTTCTCGGAGAGCAGTGATCATCCTCGCTTACTCTTACACAACGAAGCGCCAGATGCTGAAAGGCTCAATCCAGAAGCCATCTCGAGTCGTTGCCTTGTGTTTCACGATTCCCTCCGGCACACTTTGGATCTTGATGTGATGGCAGACAATGTGTTCTTCTGCAACTCCGACGAGTTTCCCCGGAGCCTTCAAGCGACTTTAGATGTCATCCACGAGACCGAGACGACGATCTTGCATCAGAGGTTCTCACGTCCCCTGAAGCCGAGCGGAACTCCGAGGCGCATGAAGCTCTTCCAATCAGGAGTCGAGTTGGCTCTCAACAATGCAGCAGTGTCGTTCAACGCACGGCACAACGACAAGATATCAGACTTGTACCTTGTGGCTGCTGACGAGACAAACCAGCCCTGCCAGCACTTTGCGGACGGCAGGTCAAACTTGAAAGTAGAAATGAGCTGGATGAATGCACAGCTGCCAGTCTATGAAGCCGGTCGGGATCAAGTCTTTGCACTGCCTCCGTTGCACGTACGATCTAATTCCAAGCAGACCATCTCGGTCTTCTCCTGTGCAGGCTCGAAGCAGACGAAGACAGAGGAGACGCGACTGTTTCAGTACCAACTTGACGTCCTGGTGACCCCCGGAGAGCCTGAGAAGCTGAAGATTTCTCTACCACAAGACATCTCTGGTATCAAAGCAGGAGACTTGTTCACGTTGGAAGGAGTCATAGTGGATCGAGATGGATACGACATCGAACCGATAACTAACCAACATCCTGACGAAATATCTTCGTTCAGTTTCACGTGCGAAGATGGGTTTGAGGTTCCGGTCACTTTATATGACAACTACCACAATGTGGTAGAAGGCAAAGATGCCCTTGGGAACATCACGATCAAAGGCTCTAAGATCACTGTAAGGAATGCTTTCATTCGCTGTAAACCCTCCAAGGGCACGCTCAAGCTTGGGCTGAAGCTCAACGTGAAAACAGGTATAGGTGGCACAAAGTCTTACAACTTGAAGCCCATCGAGCTGGACTTGGACCTGAAAGCTGGTGATCCGTGCAAGATATGCGTACAGCCAGACTGCCAAGCGTTCGTCAACCTCTCGGTCCCCAGCATGGCGGAGTACGAATGTGACATCAGGTTCATCGTTACAGACAGTGTGGACAACAACTTGTCAGCCGCATGGGATCAGCCGCTGATGCTGCAGGTAGGCAAACAGAGCAGGAGGCTTGAAAAAGTATCAGATGAATCAAGGGGAGATGCTTTCAAGCTCAGCACAATTCCAGCCCTTCCAGCAGGAGAGTATTTTCCTAAAATCATTTCGCGGAGTATATCGAGTTTCACCTTCAATGTCATCGCCACTGCTAGGAACTCCGTCATTCAGATCGCGATGACGGTGAAAGACCGACAGAAACATCTTGAGTACGCACAAGGCTCAGCGCTTGCAGCAGCAGACTTCGAAGCTTTGATCCAACTCCACACCGAAGACCAAAGAAAGCTCGACGACTGGTCTACGAGTACCATGCCGGATGTGAGGCTGTACTGTGAAAAGCAGAGGATACCCATGTCGTACAAGACCTTCGACGGCAACTGCGTACACGTCATCTTCTCTCTCAGCGAGATCGGGAGTCATCAGGTCTCGGCTGAGTTTGTCGACTCGAGACCCTCGTATGCAGGACCTCCGATCGCTTCCAAGCCTTGTAACGTGGTGGTGAAGTCAGGTAAGAGACGCTGTCTGCTTGACATGATTGTCCGCTTGTATCTCACGCCATTGCTACAGGACCTGTAGAGCAGCTGGACTTGCAGCTTCATGCTCCTGCGACTGACGACCCTCTTCAGTGTGGCTTCACGCTCGCTGCATGTGACCGGGCGTCTCGAAAGACAAACTATCATCCCACGAGCGAGTGGGAGGCTACAGTGGTGGCACGGGTGCTGGAGGACCATCTCGTCCGGATAGAGACCAATGCTGTAACCCTCAACGCTCTTCATCCCACGGTCAATGGAACCTTCACGCTCGTGCCTCAGCGACAAGAGCAGCAAGAGTCATGCGCTTGTACGCTTGTGTTTAACGTGCAGAGCAACATTGCCATAAGGTCGTTGGATCAGCGAACGATGAACGTGACGCTTCCTGCTGCATCTGCTGGCGTGCACGATGACACTGCAATCAATGACAACGAGAACGAGGAGGTGCAGGAGGCGAGCAGAGCCAACATCGCCTTCGAGGAACAGCCGGTGATTATCGAAGACGACACAGAAGAAGAGGAGAAGCTCAGGGTCGAGGTACAAACATCCATGTGCCATCAAAACATCGAGAACGCTATTGCAAGGCTCCTCAAGCGACAGGATGTCTCTCCTGCTATCCAATCTTACTACGTCGATATCGCAGCAACTTCGGACTTGGGGAAGCTGAAGCGAGACTGTGAGAGGTTTCAAACAGGCATCAGGAATCACAATGCAGAGCTGACCGAGCGGTTCAAGGACTTCAAGAACAAGTATGATGATCTTCCACACAAGATGGAGTTGACAGATGTCGAAATTCCTGCGAGCTGCAAGGACGCTTTAGGGTGTATTTCCTCCTTGTTCTCCATCGACCATCCTCGGGCAGCAGACATTCAGACGGCCTTGTCGACAGCTTTCGGCGAGGACCTCAACTCCGTCATCTTCCAGAGCGACGGAGACTTGGATGAGCAGATGGACGGCATCTGCTGTCAGTCCAAGTGTCGAGTCAAGAGCGCTTGCCTGGTAGAGCAGGACAGGTTGCCCGAGGACGTCGAGGAGTCTCGCGGGGCCCTGGGACGAGCCGACAGCTTCATCGTCCTCAACAAGTCTCGTGATGCAGAGACAGACAGGAAGCTGCTCTCCTTCGCCGAGCGATTCTTCAGGAGGCTCGTCGTCTTCGAGCAGTCGGATGATGCCATCCGCTACCGCACACGCTCCATGCTTCGAGGCGAGATGGTGGTGGGACTGGACCGACCGAACAAGGTCATTTCATGGGACGGGAGCCAGACGCTGCTGGACAAGCAAGTGAGGTGTGCAAGGATGGGCATCGTCGAGTACTGGAGAGCCAAAGCATACAAGGAGCTGCAACGGCAGAGAGATGAGCTTGACTCCATCGACAAGGAGCTCAAGGTAGGCCTCCTAACCTCCTGCTACCTCGTAGTCACGAGTGTGCCTTTGGCAGGAGATCATCAAGAACTGCAATGATGTGGAGAACAACGAGATGAGTCAGAGCGCCAGGTTGACCGGAAAGAAGCGGGTGAACACAGATCAGGAGGTGAGACTGGAGTTCATAGTCGAGAGATTTGACGGTCATGCCAGCAGCCACAGGAAGACGGGGAGGACGAGTTGAGGCCTCGCAAGCTCTTTCGTGAGAGTAGAGATTGAATTCAGCAGTATCTATGAATCGACTTACATCCAGGGCATCACCCGACCAGGTTAGGGAAAGTCATCGGGATTCGTCTTTCTTGTACAAGATATACAAGATGGTCGTGGGTTTGAATTTACTCTATTAAAATACAAACAAAAACTTTCAACATCCTCACTCAGTTTCACGCCTTTGTTGTGCGTGAGAAATAAACCATCGCATTCTACTGTTTGCTTCTGTCTTCCCTCAGCCATTTGTCTAGCACTCGTGCTCTTGCAACATCCTGACCCCTCGTTTTACCTGCCCTATTCGCAGCTCCTCCTTTCATCTGCTGTCTGCGATGCCTCGTCCTCGTGGCGAGCCATGTCCGTGTGCTCGCTAGCTTGCCTCGTAAGGAGCCCTCAAGGATTCTCAGTTGAGCCATCTTGGAGCTGATGAGGACCTCTGCCTCCTCGGCAGTGCGGAACACGATCGGTTCCATGCTGCAGTTGCGAAGGCAGGTATCAACTTCCTCAGAGCTGTTGTGAGACCCGAAGCTCGCGCTGCCGTTGGAGAAGGTAAGTTCATAGTCAAGCTCGAACGAGCCGTTGCCAGCGAAGGCGGACGACTGGTTGGCTGTACAGTTTGCTGCACACTTGAGCTGTCTCTCCAACTCATCAAGTTGTTTCACAACATCTTGAAACTGTTCGATCATGTCCATGATCTCCTTATTGGGGTCTACCATTGGATTGTACATGGCCGGGATGTACAAACTCTGTCCAGCCTTAGGCGTCTTGATCTTTGCGTACGAAAGCAATGCTTCATGTTTGGTCGCAGATGTGAGAAGGTCAGTCGGGTACTTGTACCTGCCATGCATGTCAAGGTCACCGAGAACTCTCGAAGATATCCACTCACGTGGGAAACACGGTCTCTTCGTATCGCCTGTCCATAGAGTCGTTCTCAGTTCCTTGGTTCTGCAAAACCGAAGGGAAGCCAGCTCGTGTGGCCATCAGAGCTACAAGCAACATCGATAGGAGCACAGTGACCACGGCCAGAGTTTGCTTGCTCTTTGCCCGCTGTTCGTCATGCCGGTGACATTCTTCCATCTTTCCTGTCAAGAAGAACATTCTCACTGGAGAAAACATCCATCAATATCCCTTCCCAACAAATCTTTCCCAGCTCACCATGTCTCACTTCTGCATATCATACCTCTCCTCACATCGTATCCCGTGGTCTACACGTTTTCATTTCCTCCCTTTTCCCTTCTCCTCTCCTCTCCTCTCCTCTCCTCTCCTCTCCTCTCCTCTCCTCTCCTCTCCTCTCCTCTCCTCTCCTCTCCTCTCCTCTCCTCTCCTCTCCTCTCCTCTCCTCTCCTCTCCTCCTTGTTCCTGCTTCCCTTCTCCTCTCCTCTCCTCTCCTCTCCTCTCCTCTCCTCCTTGTTCCTGCTTCTCCTCTCCTCTCCTCTCCTCTCCTCTCTTCGGAATGTTCCGTCTGTCAGGTCATCTTTCGCCAGCCTCGTTGGCCTGCATGTTCCTATTTGTGGACTGCTGGTATGTGGGCCAGGAGGTGATAGAATATCGCATACGATACTTTGCTGCCTTTCAAAATAATTATTTTTATTTTCTGAGGCGAACTTGAAAGAAGAGTTTGATCAGTTGAGTAAAACTCCTCAGGGTCTTTGCGAGCCTCAACAAGTGGGGGACAGGAGGAGACAGAAGAAGAGAGAGAGAGAGAGAGACGGGAGGAGCGAGTAGAGGGAAGGAGAGAGTAGAGGGAAGGAGAGAGTAGAGGGAAGGAGAGAGTAGAGGGAAGGAGAGAGTAGAGGGAAGGAGAGAGTAGAGGGAAGGAGAGAGTAGAGGGAAGGGGAGAGTAGAGGGAAGGAGAGAGTAGAGGGAGGGAGAGAGTAGAGGGAGGGAGAGAGTAGAGGGAAGGAGAGAGAGAGAGAGAGAGAGAGAGAGAGAGAGAGAGAGAGAGAGAGAGGAAGGAGAGAGTAGAGGGAGGGAGGGAGGAGAGAGAGAGAGAGAGAGAGAGAGACGGGAGGAGAGAGTAGAGGGAAGGGAATAGTGACGGAGAGAGATAAGACAAGGCTGGAGTGGCGAGGGTCCTGCAGCTGCTAGACATGCTTGCGAAGCGCGACATACTCAGGCACATGAGAGTGTTTTCATCTCTCGTGTCCTCGCGCGGGTTGTCCAGCTCCAAGGATACTCGCTCTTTGCTGTCACCGCCAGAAGAAGGAACCGTGTCCGGCAGTACCAGGCAGCGCAACCCTCTAGACGCGTCTTCCTGGGACGTGGTCGTGATAGGAGGAGGGCACGCAGGCTGCGAGGCAGCCGCAGCCGCTGCAAGACTGGGCGTGAGGACTCTCTTGCTCACCCACAAGCTGCAGGACCTTGGGACGATGTCGTGCAACCCGTCGATTGGAGGGGTGGGAAAGGGACACCTTGTGCGGGAGATCGACGCCTTAGGGGGGGTGATGGGACGGATGGCGGACATCGGCGGGATACAGTTTCGTATCCTGAACGCGTCCAAGGGCCCGGCAGTGCAGGGGCCCCGAGCTCAGATCGATCGGACGCTGTACAGGAAGGCGATGATCGATGAAATGCAGCAGTACCAAAACCTGCAGATCGCGTGCGGGAGCGTCGAAGACATTGTCGTGTCTGGGGAGGGGTCGGTTAGCGGTCTGACCCTCAGTGCCGACAGCCAGTGGGAGGGGTGGAGGGTGAACACGAGCAAGGTGGTGGTGACGACAGGGACGTTCTTGCGGGGAGTGATACACGTCGGCTCTGAACAGATTCCCGCCGGGCGCGCGGGGGACAAACCAGCGACGGCGCTTGCAGAGACTTTTCGGAGGATCGGGTTCAAGATGGGCAGGCTCAAGACCGGGACGCCTCCTCGGATCGCAGCGAAATCCATCGATTACAGCAACCTTGAGGTGCAGGAGGGAGATGCGAACCCCAGGCCATTCAGCTTCCTCAACCAGAAGCCCGTTCTCGGCAACCAGGTCGTGTGCTGGGTGACCCAGACGATCCAGCGGACGCACGACATCGTGCAAGAGCACGGACATCTCTCGCCGATCTTTCAGTCTGCGGGAGGAAAGGGCAACGGGCCCAGGTACTGCCCCTCCCTCGACACTAAGATCCAGAGGTTCCCAGGTCGGTTCCACCTGGTGTGGCTGGAGCCGGAGGGGATCGACTCAGACGTCATCTACCCCAACGGAATATCGATGGGCTTCCCCCGGGACGTTCAGCAGGAGATCATCCGCTCCATCCCTGGGCTAGAGGGCGCTGACATTCTGCATCCAGCATACTCGATCGAGTACGACATGATCGACCCAACGCAGCTCAAGCCGACGCTCGAGACTCGCCCCTTGCCCGGCCTCTACCTTGCTGGGCAGATCAACGGCAGCACTGGGTACGAGGAGGCGGCAGCGCAAGGGATCGTCGCTGGAATCAACGCTGCTCTGTCAGTGAAGGACGAACCCTCCTTCGTCCTCTCCAGATCTGAGGCGTACATCGGAGTCCTAGTCGACGACCTGCTCAAGGGGGTCACGGAACCGTACAGAATGTTCACGTCGAGAGCTGAATATCGACTTCTTTTGCGAAGCGATAATGCCGATCTGAGGCTGACGCCGTTGGCCATGAAGCTGGGACTTGCTTGCGAGGAGAGGAAGGAAACGTTTCTGAGAAAGAAGAGGGAACTTGAAAACGGCCGCGCGCTTCTCTCGTCCGTCACCTTCAAGCCTCAGGTAATTTGAGCTTTATGCTGTGGATTTAACATCTCGGATCAAAACACATTTTCCTTGTTCATTATCCACATTTGGACATCATCATCATCGCCACTACTAACAGAACATACTGACAAAATTTCATCATCGTTGGCATCGACTTGTTTCAATCCATTCACGTGTCCAGAAGACTGACACTCCTGCTTGAAGGAATGGCAGAGTGCAGGAGTGGACGTCTGCTTGGACGGATTGAAACGAAGTCCGCAGACAGTCCTTGGATATCCCGGAGTAAAATGGTCGCACTTGACATCCCTCCTCCCCGAGCTGGGGTCGACCACACCCGAGGTGACACGTCCTCAGGTCATTCTTTCTTGCTCATGCACTTTCCAATCAGGTCGTGGAGATTCTGACGATCGAGGCGATGTACCATGAGTTCATCACAGCGCAGAAGAGAGACATTGAGGCGATCAAGAGAGAAGAGAACCTAGTCCTGCCTGAGAACTTTGACTACAGGCATGTCTTGCTATCACCTGTTGCTTGCCGACCTTCCATCCCTGCCGTCTACGTCACGATCTGCAGTCCGCTGAGCCTGACCCATTGATCACAGGAAGGTCAACGCCTTGTCAAATGAAGAAGTAGAGATCCTCAACTCCTTGCAACCGACAACGCTCGGTCAAGTCCCAAGTCTTGATGTCTCCTCCTGCTGAATCTGTGAGATTCAGGTAGAGCGTCAAGAATTCCAGGGATCCGGCCGTCCTCCTTGCTTCCTCTTCTCCAGGTTGAGCTTCTTCGTTGCCGTCTCTGCCCTGAACGCTCTGCAGCTTGCTAAGAGGTTCAACCAGAAGAGCAGGAGCGACGAGGTGCCGCAGGCTGCTGAGCAGATGTCGTGAGAGAGGAAGTAGGGTACAGTCGGGAGATGTACATGAACTACGTGAGTACATTCCGGTAGCTTTCTACCCCAGCTTTCCAACTCGATGGTCATCCTCACGAACAAAATTGTGGCCCACGGCAGAATCGCGAGATGAAGTGATCAAGCATTTGCATCTTCATCCTTGTCCATCTGAACTAATCTCGCTGCTGAAATCACTGCTCAATCAATCCCAGGGCATGCGGGAGGCAGATGAATTGAGAGTGATGGACTTGTCAGATTGCCCACAAGGGTCAGAAGGCCTTAAGGAGACTGAAGCTCTAGCCTTGGAAGCATGACAATGGACAACCCAAGTCTTGGTCGGAGGGGCTACAGGCAGCAATCAAAGTTCAGGGCCCTGCCGCGAAGCTCCGGCTGCAGTCATGTAGATGAAGAGGGGAAGCAGCAGACATTAGTTTAATTCTTAGTTTCACACACCCTTGAGCTCAAAGACTAACTCGCCCGTCACACTCGCATCGTCACAACGGTGGTAGTTTGCTACAAACCGTCTCGCAGCCTCTACTGATGGAGCTTCAGCCTGCCTGGCTCGTATCGTGAAGTACAGAACGCCACGAGGCAAGGGACCTGAACCTCTGTCAAACATGTAGGAGCCTCTACCAACATTGGAATGCACACAATGTTGAAGGGAGAAGAATCCTCGGGTTCGACGCGGACGGTGTAGGAGCCTCCATCGCTCAGCGGCAGGTCGATGTCAACGACCTGCCCCACCACCATCGGACGCTCTCGGCCCACATAGGAGGAGCAGAGGTACCTCGTTTGTCTTGCTGTCAATCAAGTAGATCAGCTTGCCCTTGGGGTTCGCCCCTCCTCGGAGAGGGATCCCAAACGCTTTCGAGATCTGGGACAAGTCATGACACTGGCTGCGAAAGCTTCCCTATACGATATGCAGCAGCGAAGCTCCTCCTTGCGGGCCCTTCCACTGCAGGCACCTGCGCGGATAGTGAAGGGAAGGAGGGAGTGAGGGAGGAGGGGGAGGGGGACGGGGAGGAGGAGGAGGAGGAGGAGGAGGATGCTCACTTGCTGATTCCCTTGTAGGTGAAATCTGCTTGCAGCCTGAAGAGAGCAAAGGAGGAGCCGCAACATAATAAGATGAGCAAGTCGCAAGCGAGTGAAGCTTTGTTACACACAATCTCGGTGATCCCTGGGTAAAGCCGTCAATAATGCAGTCT